TAACAAAGAAATCCAGAGATGAGCTGGCCTGTAGGCTGTAGGCCACAGGTGGGTTGACAGCATAGCCACCAGTGACCTTGCATGTATGCAGCATTGCTGGGTATGGAACGCTCATGAACTCGCCTATGGCCACATGGTGGGCATATGGAGGGCACCTGGTGGGCACATGGTGGGCACCTGGTGGGCACCTGGTGGGCACATGGTGGGCACCTGGTGGGCACATGGTGGGCACATGGTGGGCACGTGGTGGGCACGTGGTGGGCACATGGTGGGCACGTGGTGGGCACATGGTGGCCATATGCTACATTGCTTCGTGGAACGTGTATTGCTGTGCTTCACTCTTCAGCCTGCTGTCTCGTATTCTAGCCACACACGCATGTTGCACTCCAACAAGTCTGTTTTCAGCCACAGTCTCAACATTCATGAAGGCCCCCCAAACTTTTCCTGTCCCCGCTATTGCAGCCACAGCAGCTGAATCAGCATCGGCAGCAGCAGCAGTAGGAGGAGGGGCAGGGGGGCAGGGAGCACATGTGGTAGCAGTAGAACCCGCGTGGGGCAATGTGTGTCGGGAGTATTCACTGGGTGAGCTGGCACGAGCAACGAACCAATGGGCGGAGGGCAACAGGATTGGGAGTGGGAGCTTTGGAGATGTGTACAAGGGAGTGTCTCCGTACGATCCGAGCGAGCTGTGGGCTGTGAAGCGGGGCAGAGTTTTAACGAACGACTTCCAGAGGGAGGTATGCACATCTGTGCTTAAAGTCTGTTTTTTTTTTTTTTTTAAGGGGACCGTAACACCTGAATGTGTAGCATTTGTCAGTGATGTGCTTCCTAGTCCTTTTAGAATCGGTCGTGCTTTTATCTGTTTCATGGCTTCACTTCTCTGCCTGCGAGAGTCCAATGAATCTTTATCTTTTCCTGCATACCACTGTCCTGCCTTGCTTCACAAATTCACAAGCAGTTGCTCAGTCTCTTAGCTGTGTTTCACCTAAGTTTCTAATTCTATATGCCAATCAAAATCACCTGTCTGTCATGGCAGGTGCGTGAGATGGCGACAAAGAACCACCTGAATCTGGTGCGTCTGCTGGGGTTCTGCAAGGACTATGATGCAGCGACGGGGCACATGGAGCAGATCCTGGTATATGAGTTCATGGAGAATGGCGACCTCGAGGCATGGATTGGACCAGGTGAGGATTGAGTCAACTCAAACAGTGTCGTGTGCCATGGTAACATGGTGACCCTATAATCGGCTCAAAGGCCAATTGTGCAAGGAAAAAAGATGCGGCATTGGGGCACATGGAGCAGATCCTGGTGTATGAGTTCATGGCGAATGGCGACCTAGAGGCGTGGATTGGACCAGGTGATGATATGTGGTTAGGGCTGGGTAATAACATGTTTGAAACGGGTAATCACATGGTTTTAACCGGGTAATCACATGGTTTGGACTGGGTAATCATACGTTTGGACTGGGTAATCATACATTCTTTTTTTCGATTGATTATTTTTTTCCTTATGCAGGCGCCTCCAAGCCTCTGTCACTGTTGCAGCGCCTGGACATCCTCATAGGGGTGGGCAAGGGGTTGCAATACCTGCATGACTTTGGCATCGTGCACCGTGACATCAAACCAGCCAACGTGCTCCTCAATGCCAAGATGCAGGTACTTTCTAGGTGCCATTAAATCCATCTCGAGACAACTGTATCATCTTGAGTGGCTTTCGTTGACGTTGGAGCCAGCTATTATCCATGAGTCATATGCATAGAAAGCTATCAGTGATGTGGAACCTTAATCTAAAGTTGAGTTCTCTGTAATAGCATGAGTGATGGCAGCAGAAAACTGTTGTCTCAATTGCAGCAACACTTCCATCACTCCGTTATCCATGAGCATTTTATCACTTGGTTCAACGGGTGTGGTTCGGCATTCAGTGAAGAAACCTCTGATGGCTATTGGTATGTGTGCAGGCTAAGGTGGCGGACTTTGGGCTGCTGAGGCTTGGGGAGGGCACGTCAGTGGCAGCCACTCGAGTGATGGGCACACCGGGCTATGTGGACCCTGCTTACTACATGTCTCACAAGGCCACTCCTGCCGCCGACGTGCACAGGTGAGGTCTGAGAGAGAGAGTGCTGATGGCAAGCTTTCCTGTGTATAGACCAAGAAAGGCTTGCAAGCATGCTACACCGGGCTATGTGGATCCTGCCTATACCACATTTCTCACAAGGCCACTCCGGCAGCCGACGTGCATGGGTGGGGTGTGAAACAGTGAGCTCCTGGCAGGCTGTTCTGTTCATGTACTGAAAAGCTTTACTCACCTTCCACGCCTGAGCTGCTAATATGATGTCACCCATAAATCCAAGCTGCTTAGATGGGGGCCTTTCCTATCATGCACTCAGGACCGTTTTTAGGGTCCATCACATGCCACATATCTCATCACATGCCACATATCTCATCACATGCCACATGTCTCATCACATGCCACATGTCTCATCACATACCACACATCTCATCATCTGCCACACATCTCATCGCATACCACATAAATCCATCATGGCCCCTTTCCATGTTCTTGGTGGCAGTTTCGGCATGTTGGTGCTGGTGGTCATCACGGCACGCAAGCCCATCTACGTTACAGAAGACAGTCAGATCAACCTCAAAAACTGGGTACGACGATCCCCGTTGAGAATTCTGAACAATAACTATCAGGTCAACTAGACGAATCATCTTATATGTATATATATATGGTTCGAGGATCACTTTTGAGAATCCACCCTGGTGATAGTTAGAAGAACCTGACTGAAGGACTTGGCACGAGGAGACTATGTGCTGTGGCGCGGCTATGTGCATGTTGCATGCCATCCCTACCACTTGCTCTTCACTCCATTCTGAAATCATCAATCTGTTCACGCCATCCCCCCTTTCCCTTCAACACGACCCTAATCTACCTCTCCTCTACTTGTTTTATCACAGCAAGCACAGCCCCCACTCCAACGTGGCGTCAAATGCAATCATGGATATCAAGCATCCCCATCTCGCCTCAAGAGATACCTCTGTGTGGCAAGGATGCCTGCACTCGCCTCGCCTTGCACTCACCTCGCCTTGCACTCACGTGCCCCACAATCACCCCTCCTAAGTGGCCCCACTAGTGGCATCCACCTCTATAGCAGCCATCAAGGACCCTCACCTGGCCAAAATAGACGACCTGCTGCGCCCGAGGTGACTTCTGAGTCGATTCAAACCTCCCCTTCACCCGCTCCCAGGTGGCTCCGCTAGCAACACCCAATGATGCCGTACCATCGTAGCCTGAGGTGACGTCTGAGTCGACTCAGACCTCCCCCTCTCACCCCCCACGCAGATGGCGCCACCCAGATCACCCAACGCCATGGCACCCTTCAAGTACCCTCATCTGCTCGAGGTGACTAGAATTTACTCACTACTCCCCAAACCCCCCTCCTGGTGGCGCCACTAGTGGCATCAAACGCTGTGGCAGCCTTCAAGGGCCTTCATCTGCTCGCCCCAGACGACCTGCTGGTGCTCTGGCTTGCCTTGCCCTCGCCTTGCACTCACGTGCCTCAAAACCCCCATACCTACCCCTAACCCCCATACCTACCCCTAAACCCCATACCTACCCCTAACCCCCTCCCAGGTGGCTCCCTTAGTATCATCAAACGCCGTAGCAGCCTTCAAGGACCCTCATCTGCTCGCCCCAGACGACCTGCTGCTGCGTCTGGCCCGCCTTGCCCTCGCCTGCACGGCCATGCCCACCGCGTCGCGCCCCACCATGGCGCAGGTGGTGGGGCAGCTGCAGGCGATGGAGCAGCAGGTGGCGGGGCGGGAGGTGGACCGGGCTGCTGTGCGCATCGACAGGGAGATAGAGGGCGTTGCTGGCGCTGCTGACTTTGATGCGGAGCTTGCACGGGCGATGCACGTGGGTGGCGGCGGTGGTGGTACCAGCAGCTCGTGATTGGCGTTGGGTGATCACTACATGCTCTTAGGATCACTAGCCTGCTCGATAAAATGCATGTGGGTGGTGGTACTAGTGGTTGGTACTAGTGGTTGCTGACTGGAGTTGGGTGATAAGCAGTGTGCTGCTGGCATGAACGCTTTTGCATGTGACAGATCACTTGGCTGTACGATATGTGCATATGGGTGCTGGCAAAGGCTAATCCTAATTGGAGTTGGGAGATATCTGCATACCATTGGAGTGCTAGATTGTACAGTAGGACTGCCATTGTGTGTCACTGGTACAATAGGGCTGTGGTGCTGCTACCTGTTTAGACAGCAAGCGAGGCTGCATTGCTGTTGGTGGGGTTTCTCTAGCCCTGCATGGTAGCAGCGGTAGGGAGCAGCTCATTTTGATAGTTATTATGCCTGAAAACAGGCTTTAAAAAACAGATGTCACTTGGTTCGTTGACATTGGCTGATGCATTGCATTCCATGGATGCTGCCGTGGAAGGAATGTCCTTTAGACCCCACGGCATGGTGAGATTGTCATTGCAACCTTCATCAACCTAAGTTTTCACCAAGAATTTCAAGATTGCAACAGTCGGAGGGCCCTGGAGGTAGGGAGGACCTCGATACACACTGCCATTCTCCAGTCTTCTGTAGTACTCTCCTGCAAGAGTAGGAAGAGTTTTGACCTCAGCAAGCCCACGGATCTCGAGTCAGTAAAAAACTAGGACTGTTCTATGCGTACTAGGGTCCCCAGTCTCCTGTAGTTCTCTCCTGCGGCTTCCCATGCGCATCTCAACGGGTCGCCGTCTGCTCTCTGCTGTAACTTCTGCAGAAACTGCTCGCAGCTCACAACTCGGGACACACATGGCGCAGTGCACTGCCATCAGAGCACACCGCTGTCATATGCACTATGCCGCAGCACCTCATACGCCTCCACAGCAATAAGCTGTCATACGCACTGCGCATGCTGGGATCCCTTAGCACCTCATACGCCTCCGCACCCATCACCACCCAAGACATCATACTCCAGACCTCACACTCCTCACACCTCACACCTCACAGTGCACCGCTGTCATACGCACTGCGCTTGCCGGGATCCCTTAGCACCTCATACGCCTCTGCAATCCTCTTAAACCGCTCCTCCGCTGCCCGCCTCTTGCCCTCGTCAGGCTGCCTGTCAGGGTGCGTCTCCATCGCCAGCTGGCGGAACGCAGATTTGATCTCCTGCTGACTCGCCTGCCGTCCTTTGCCGGCCAATCCCAAAGCAGAGTAGTACCCCTTGGGGTCTGAACTTGTCCGCCCTGACCTTGCCTGCCTTGACCCCTGCTGCCACTGCTGCTGCTGCTGCTGCTGCCGCCCGTACTGCTGCTGCCACTGCTGCTCCCATTGCTGCTGCCACTGTTGCTGCCTCCTATCCTGCTGCTCCTGCTGCTGCTGCTGCTGCTGATGCTGTTGTTGCTGGCTGCGCTGGTATCTGCTGCTGCCGAAGCTGCCACCAGGCCAGGATGAGGCTCCTCCCCGAGCCATGCGCTCAAACTCCCTCCACACGTCCTCCGGACTCACAAAGGCTCGGCGAAAGACCCGGAAGTTGCCGAACCTGTGGAGCAGGTTTGGGAAGAGAGTGGAACATGATGGGGGAAAGGAAGGGGTGGGTTGGGAAAAGGAGTGGTTCTGGGATTAGGTTCGAGTGCGGAAAGGGCAGAGATGAGGAGTGTGGGGGTTGAGGTGGCAAGTGTGCTGCGTGCATCAGAAGATGGACTTGACACATCACATGCATGTGATGTGGGGGGGACACATCACATGCATCGAGACAAGTGGGGAGAAGTGATGACTTGAGAATGGAGGCAGCCGGCAACTTGGGGTAAGAGGGCAACTTGGGGTAAGAGGCCACCAACTTGGCGCAGAGAACGAGGAGGACGTTTGAGAGAAAAGGAGCAAGACTTGGAGCGATTGGTCAATTTAAAATCCAGGCACAATTGGATCGGGCATAAGGTGGGTTGCAGCTATCAGTGCTCTTGGTGTTGTCGACGGTGATGCAACTCATGCTTCCCATCCCATCCTACTGTCGCTGCCATTGCTGAACCATGACAACAGCAAGAGCAGAAACACATGCTTCAGAGCGTGGCAGTGATCGTGCTACTCTACCCCCTCAGCGCCAACAGTGCGTGAAATGTCCCACTCATGTAACTTGGAGCAACCATGACGCTCACTCGATTGAACTGCAACAGCCATCCCGCATTCCCCCCAACCCACTCCTTGAAGCCCTCCTTAATCCAGCCCAAACCAGCCCTCCCAGCCAAACCAGATCTGCAGCCAAACCAGATCTGCAGCCAAACCAGATCTGCAGCCAGACCAGATCTGCAGCCAGACCAGATCTGCAGCCATACCAGATCTGCAGCCAGACCAGATCTGCAGCCAGACCAGATCTGCAGCCAGACCAGATTTGCAGCCAGACCAGATCTGCAGCCAGACCAGATCTGTAGCCAGACCAGATCTGCAGCCAGACTAGATCTGCAGCCAGACCAGATCTGCAGCCAGACCAGATCTGCAGCCAGACCAGATCTGCAGCCAGACCAGATCTGCAGCCAGACCAGATCTGCAGCCAGACCAGATCTGCAGCCAGACCAGATCTGCAGCCAGACCAGATTTGCAGCCAGACCAGATCTGCAGCCAGACCAGATCTGCAGCCAGACCAGATTTTTAGCCAGACCAGATCTGCAGCCAGACCAGATCTGCAGCCAGACCAGATCTGCAGCCAGACCAGATCTGCAGCCAGACCAGATTTGCAGCCAGACCAGATCTGCAGCCAGACCAGATCTGCAGCCAGACCAGATTTGCAGCCAGACCAGCCCCGTAGGCCACCTTCCAAAGTGTTCATCACACGCACACACACTTGATGTTCTCCTTTCTTTCCCCACTAACCTGTTCCGCACTGACTCTACTGCACCCTTCCAACCATACTGCCTTCACCCCCTGAATCCCATGTGCCTCACCTGGAACAAGTGCGTTTCTCAACTCACCCTGGAAATCCATCAAACGGGTTCTCAAATGGACTCTCACGCCTTTCACCTCCTCCTGCCCCTCGCCCTCTTGCCTCTCCCCTCTCTGCCCTGCCGAACACACCCCCCTCCTCTTCCCCCACCTCCTCCTCCTCCATCCCTCCTCCTTCCCCCCACAGCCCCCCTCCTCCTGTTGCCACCTCAGCTACCTCCCTAGCGTGCTGCACGCCCCGACGAATCACAGCGAGCCGAGGGGACACCCTGGCAAGCCACCCAGCGGCCAATGAGAGCGCGCCAACTGTCATCCACCAAGCGGTCGACGCCGGGTGGAAAAGCCAAGGCACGCCGCCCCCCAGGAGGACCAGGTCCAGTAGCGCGGCGCCAGCTGTCAATGCGGCTGCTGCTGCCAGCGTGGATTTCGGTTGGGAGAAGAGGCGGTCTGCGGCGACAGCCGGCGCGGTGGATGGTGCTGACGTGGCGGCGATGACAGCCGTGTGGCGCCAGCTGTCGTGATGGTAAGATGCCACATAAGATGGCAGGAAGATGGGCTGCTCTGCTTGGCAATGGGTGGCAGCAGAGCCAAGCCAATGTAAGATTGGCACGTGGACAGGGTGAAAAGAAAGTCATGTCGGTGTGATGGACAGAAGAGGACAAGAAAAAGGTGTGGATATAAGCAAAGCAGGCTGCCTGACTGACGAGGTCACTAATGGGAGCAGAGCTGACGGTGGTATCAACGATGACTAGCGAGCAAGGCGAGGACACCGCATGAGTGTGGGTCACAGAGAGTGGGAAGGAGGGCAAGGGAGAGAGCGCACCTTGGCAGACACGGAGTGCACGGTGAGATGAATGTCCAGATCTCTCACTTGCTCCGCTTCATAGCGCTGGTAGGGGTGATTGCGCAGCGGGGTTGGGCAGTGGGGGATTGGGCAGGGGGGATTGGGCGGGGGGGTTTGGACAGGGGGGATTGGGTAATGGTATTGGGAGGGGATGGCGGAGTTCATGCGAGCGGGCATGAGATGAGAGGGATTGCCATGGAATATTCGGCAAGTATAGAAAATAGTAAATAGTAAGGAAACAGGCAAGGCAGCGCATACTTATTGTTGGAATTAAAAGATGATTTCAAGAAGTGATAATAGGTCCTGAGAAAGGAAGAGAATGCAATAATAGATGGCAGACGCACGCACACGACACCATGGCACACCATGGCACACCATGGCAATGTGGCACGTGATTGCATGACATGGGGTTTGTAAACAAAGTGCAGTATGGCTCTAAGAGAGCAGGCCAACGCAAGCAGTGCAAGGCAGGGCACAGCACAGGACGGGGCAAGGCTAGCACAAAGCAGAGCAGGCTAGCACAAAGCAGAGCAGGCTAGCACAAAGCAGAGCAGGCTAGCACAAAGCAGAGCAGGCTAGCACAAAGCGGAGCAGGCTAGCACAAAGCGGAGCAGGCTAGCACAAAGCAGAGCAGGCTAGCAGAGCAGGAAAGCACAGAGCAGAGCAGGAAAGCAGAGGGCGCACCCATTTGAGGTGGGTGGTGAGCTCTGTCTCAAGATGCTTGATCCACCGCTGCTTCACCACCGCCCATGCACGCTCCCTGCATGGCACACATGGATAAATATACCATGGCACATATCATTCGCCATGCACCGACCATAATCACGCACACATCATATTCCACACACACCATACTCCATGCACACACCATCACAAGCCATGCACACACCATCACGAGCCATGCACACACCATCACAAGCCATGCACACACCATCACAAGCCATGCACACACCATCACAAGCCATGCACACACCATCACAAGCCATGCACACACCATCACAAGCAATGCACACTCCATCACAAGCCAATGGACACGTAATAAGCTATGGGCAGAAAAAATACTGCATGGCAGGTGTGCATGACTGCATGGTTCAATTCAAGAGGCCTAAACAGTGACAAGCGTGCCTTGAAACCCATGGCATGTCAGCCAAGCACATGGCATGTCAGCCAAGCACATGGCATGTCAGCCAGGCACATGGCATGTCAGATATGCGCTTTCCACCCAACCCAACCCATCTGCCCACCTGGAGACGGTGAAGAGCTCCAGCTGTCTGCCAGGTGTCAGCATGCGATCGGTCAGCGGGGTCGCATGCTTGATTGCATCGCCAGCTAGCACTTGCGCCAGGGAGCGAGGGAGGCTGAGCAAAGAAGCGGAGGAATCGTGAGGGTAAAAAGGGGAAGGGAAGACGAGAATGGGATTGTTGAGAGATGGTTGGTAGTTGATTGCGCAGCCTGCCAGCAATTGCGCCAGACTGCAGGGCAGACGGAGAGAAGACGAGGGAAAGCGGGGGGGAGGAAGGGAAGAGGAGGCGACGGAAGAAAACGGGAAGGGGGAGACACAGTTTAGGGACGAAAAGAAGGAGGAAAAGAAGGAGGAAAACAAGGAGGAAAACAAGGAGGAAAAGAAGGAGGAAAAGAAGGAGGAAAAGAAGGAGGAAAAGAAGGAGGAAAAGAAGGAGGAAAAGAAGGAGGAAAAGAAGGAGGAAAAGAAGGAGGAAAAGAAGGAGGAAAAGAAGGAGGAAAAGAAGGAGGAAAAGAAGGAGGAAAAGAAAGGTTAAAGAGCGTTTCAAGTGAAGAGTGGGGAGGGAAAGCAAGTCAAGCAGAGTGGGGAGGGAAAGCAAGTCAAGCAGAGTGGGGAGGGAAAGCAAGTCAAGCAGAGTGGGGAGGGGATCGAAACGCGAAAGGGCAAAGTTGAAAGATCCCTGATGATTCTGAGCCTATAACACCATGTATCATCACTCTGCACTGCACTGCACCTGGTGGCAGCGTAGAGCTGCATGAGGGGGTCGGTGGAGGGAGCTTGCAGTGGGCGGGAGAGCCACGGGGTGGCCATCCATACTGTGTGGCGATGCTGGTGAAAGGGAGGGAGGGGAAGGGAGGGGAGACGGAAAGAGGGAAAGAAAAACTATAAGGGCGAGAGAGCCAAAGGGTGGCCTGCCAGGCGGTGTGGCGATGCTGGTGGGAGGAAGGTGATGGGAGAGGCGTGGGGAGGAAGGTGATGGGAGAGGCGATGCTGGTGGGAGGAAGGGGTGAGCACGGAAGAAGGGTTGAGCAGGGAAGAAGGGGTGAGCAGGGAAGAAGGGGTGAGCAGGGAAGAAGGGGCGAGCAGGGAAGAATGGGTGAGCAGGGAAGAAGGGGTGAGCAGGGAAGAATGGGTGAGCAGGGAAGAATGGGTGAGCAGGGAAGAATGGGTGAGCAGGGAAGAATGGGTGAGCAGGGAAGAAGGGGTGAGCAGGGAAGAATGGGTGAGCAGGGAAGAAGGGGTGAGCAGGGAAGAAGGGGTGAGCAGGGAAGAAGGGGTGAGCAGGGAAGAAGGGGTGAGCAGGGAAGAAGGGGTGAGCAGGGAAGAATGGGTGAGCAGGGAAGAAGGGGTGAGCAGGGAAGAATGGGTGAGCAGGGAAGAAGGGGTGAGCAGGGACGAAGGGGTGAGCAGGGAAGAAGGGGTGAGCACGGAAGAAGGGGTGAGCAGGGAAGAAGGGGTGAGCAGGGAAGAATGGGTGAGCAGGGAAGAAGGGTTGAGCAGGGAAGAAGGGGTGAGCAGGGAAGAAGGGGTGAGCAGGGAAGAAGGGGTGAGCAGGGAAGAAGGGGTGAGCAGGGAAGAAGGGGTGAGCAGGGAAGAAGGGTTGAGCAGGGAAGAAGGGGTGAGCAGGGAAGAATGGGTGAGCAGGGAAGAATGGGTGAGCAGGGAAGAATGGGAGAGCAGGGACGAAGGGGTGAGCAGGGAAGAATGGGTGAGCAGGGAAGAATGGGTGAGCAGGGAAGAAGGGGTGAGCAAGGAAGAAGGGGTGAGCAGGGAAGAAGGGGTGAGCAGGGAAGAAGGGGTGAGCAGGGAAGAAGGGGTGAGCAGGGAAGAAGGGGTGAGCAGGGAAGAATGGGTGAGCAGGGAAGAAGGGGTGAGCAGGGAAGAATGGGTGAGCAGGGAAGAAGGGGTGAGCAGGGAAGAAGGGGTGAGCAGGGAAGAAGGGGTGAGCAGGGAAGAAGGGGTGAGCAGGGAAGAAGGGGTGAGCAGGGAAGAATGGGTGAGCAGGAAAGAAGGGGTGAGCAGGGAAGAATGGGTGAGCAGGGAAGAAGGGGTGAGCAGGGAAGAAGGGGTGAGCAGGGAAGAAGGGGTGAGCAGGGAAGAAGGGGTGAGAGAGCCAGGGGGTGGCCTGCCATACGGTGTGGCGGTGCTGGTGGGAGGGAGGGGAGAGGAAGGGGGGAGAGGGGGAGGGGGGAGAGGGGGAGGGAGGGGGGAAGTGGTGGGGAGAGGGGGGTAGAAAGGGAGACGGAAAGAGGTAAAATAGAATCTTGAAGGGAGGGGACCAAGAGAGGTGGTCTGCCACACTGTGTGGTGGGATTGGTGGGGAGAAGGCGATGGAGGGGGAGTCGGAGGAGGCTGTGAGAAAGATGTGCTAGAGACCGAAATAAAGAGGAAGGAGATTGGGGAAGAGGAGGGGAGCATGGAGGAGAAGCGGGCGGAAATAGAGGTGAGAGCAGAAGAGAGCGGGATGGGAAGAAGAGGGCGGGATGGGAAGAAGAGGGCGGGATGGGAAGAAGAGGGCGGGATGGGAAGAAGAGGGCGGGATGGGAAGAAGAGGGCGGGATGGGAAGAAGAGGGCGGGATGGAACAGAGGAGGAAACACCACGGTTGAGAGCAAGGAGAGAAGAGCATGGCGAAGTGGTGTTTTATGCAGGTGGTAGACGAGTGAGGGAACGAGAGAGAAGGTGGAGGGAAGAGAGGGTGGAGGGGAGAGAGGGTGGAGGGAAAAGAGGGCGGAGGGAAAAGAGGGCGGAGGGACGAGACGGTGCAGGGGAGAGAGGGTGGAAGACAGAGGGAGCGGACACGAGCAGGAGAGTGGCCGATGGGAACAGAAGGAGAGCGGACACGAGCAGGAGAGTGGCCGATGGGAACAGAAGGAGAGCGGACACGAGCAGGAGAGTGGCCGATGGGAACAGAAGGAGAGCGGACACGAGCAGGAGAGTGGCCGATGGGAACAGAAGGAGAGCGGACACGAGCAGGAGAGTGGCCGATGGGAACAGAAGGAGAGCGGACACGAGCAGGAGAGTGGCTGATGGGAACAGAAGGAGAGCGGACACGAGCAGGAGAGTGGCCGATGGGAACAGAAGGAGAGCGGACACGAGCAGGAGAGTGGCCGATGGGAACAGAAGGAGAGCGGACACGAGCAGGAGAGTGGCCGATGGGAACAGAAGGAGAGCGGACACGAGCAGGAGAGTGGCCGATGGGAACAGAAGGAGAGCGGACACGAGCAGGAGAGTGGCCGATGGGAACAGAAGGAGAGCGGACACGAGCAGGAGAGTGGCCGATGGGAACAGAAGGAGAGCGGACACGATCAGACTTCTCCTTCCCTCCCCCCATCCTCCCCCTATCCCCCCAATCCCCTCTCTCGCCTCCTGCTGCTCCTCATGCTCCCCACCCTCGCGCCATTCTGCTCCTGCCATTCCCCTCCTGCCATGGCGTCTCTCCTCTCTCCCTCCTGTTACAGCCCTCTCCCCCCCATCTTCGTGACTCACCTGCTCCCATCGCCGGCTGTAAGGGTTCCACGCCATGGCAGATGACGCCTTCCCCACATTCGCCCTGTACGCCACTTCCACTGCCCACCCACAGCACACACGCAACAGATGGACGAAGGGGCACATGGGGGAAGGGGCACATGGGGGGAGGACGGGGAAGTAGTCAAGGGCGCATGGGTGGGTCTACCACCATACCAGGCAGATGTCGCCTTCCCCACACTCGCCCTGTAAGCCACTTCCACTGCCATCAGCATGCCCATGAACATGGTCATACCCATGCCATGCACATGCTCACGAGGGCACAGGGGATCAGGGGTACTAGATACGGCCGGAGGATAACGAGGGGAATCAATCAGGGAAGCGTGGGTGGGTTTACTTCGCTGCCATGGCAGATAACGCCTTCCCCACATTTGCCCTGTGCAAAGCTTCCCCTGGTGTGGGCGCACATGAGGATGGCGGGCAGTGTGGAACGTGACAACAAGGAGGGGATGGGTGCTGTGGAATGGCGTGGCATGGCATGGCATGGCATGGCATGGCAGATAATGCCTCCTTCGCACCCAGCTCCAACGGGCGAGTGCGTGCAAGGAGCAAGGGAGGAGGAAGTAAGTGAGGAGTGGAGGAGGAAAGAGAGGGGGGGAAAGTGAAGGAGGGGAAAGTGAGGAGGGGTTGAGTGAAGAGGGCAGCAAGCAAAGGTGCACCAACGATGTGCCAATAGGAGTAATATGCACACATGCAGAGACATGCGCGCACGCGCACGCACGCACACACGCACGCACGCACGCACGCACGCACGCACGCATGCACGCACGCACTCAGACACACACCCATGCACGCATGCGTGCACACGTGCACGCACACACACGCGCAGACGCGCGCGTGCGCACACACGCAGTCATTTCATCCCTTCTTGTCCCTACCCTACACCACATCCCCTTCCCCATTACCCCCCCACACCCATGCACCCACCGTCAGCAGTGAAGGTCCAGAACGGCTGGAACACGGCACTAAGAGCCACAGACGAGTCCACGTCAGCAATGGCGGGCGCCAGCAGGTGTCCCGTCAGGTGTTCTCGCAACAGAGCCCGGGCCTCCTCAGGTGTAACCTGAAACGGCACCGCCATGGGCGTGCGCGGCCGCCCTCCCCTTGTCTGCTGCGCATATCCGCGCGCCTGCTGCTTTCCGCCGTACCGCCGATCATAGCCGCCTCCTCCGGCGCCGCAGGTGGCATTTTTGAGGTTCCTGAGATTATAAACGGCCGCTCCCGGGATGTAGTCGTTGTTGCTGACGTGTCCGGCGATCCACGTGGGCGGCTGGGATGCGGTACTTGAGGGAAAGGCGGTGCGCGACGGCGTCGGTTTATGCGACGCCTCAAAGCCGGGGCTAGTAGAGGCCGCAAAGACGGTGCGCGGAATCGGCGGGAAGAGCGGCGGAGGAGCGGAAGGATGAACGGAGCGAGGGGTGAGAGCGGGGAGGAGGTCAGGCGGGGAAGAGAACGAGTTGCGGAGAACGAGCCAGCGGTAGAAGCGGTGGCACGACCTGGCGCCGCCGCGCATGGCGCAGGGCAATTGCTGCTCACGAGGCTTGAGACGTCTCAAAAGGCGCTGATTATTTAGTCGACTCAAACGTTACCCGCGATTGCTTCTCGCCCCAACGTACCAATGCTGCTCATCACTGGCGATCTTGGCTCGGCTCGCAGTGTTTGCGAAAGCACGGGCTGGCATCACCGTGACGGGCGCGCCTCGCGGAGGAATGAGGTGGAGCGGAAGAGAAGGAACGGAAACTAGCAAGGTGGAATGTGTCCAGTGCAAATCTGGAAGTGGGAGAGTCACGATTTTTGACATGCATGCGGGGATGGAAGTGGCAAATAATTTCATCCCAGACGGGGAACCAGGAACCATTTGGGGCTGTTTCGTCGTAAAGAGTTCGCATGGTTCGCTTCAGCCGCGCGATATTTGGGCTCTTCGCCGTACTTGCACGAAACCGATTTTGACTCCGCGATATTGGGCCCTGACCCTGCGTTACCAGGCAGAGCGAAGCATTACGATTTCGTAGACCAAACCTCATACAACCTTTCCCGAACCTATGGGCGGGTTTGGTTCGTCTTTCTGCTTGCTGGTCACGAGATAGATTTCGTCAGCGAGTCACCACCACCGATTGTGGTTACCGTCAACGTTCCGTTTGGATTTCCCGTCGGCGAACGTGGTTAGAGGGGATGGGACGGAGTGTGGGGGGAGTGAAAGGGGAATCCGGACCGGAGACGAGCAAAAGGGGAGGATCTGATGGATACACAACAGGCATGTTACCCCTCATGTTCGAACAAGGCTCAAGGCTTGCATCCAAGCCCTTGAATTTCAAAACTCAGCTGGATGATGCTGATCTTGAGAACAGCTAGTCGAAATACAATCCCAGGATAATCACACCGCATTGTCAGGTTCTCTCGAGCACTCGAGATGCAAGGCGACGGACCTCTCGATCTCCCCGTCGTCCTTCAGGCAGCTATCTACGTGATGCACTGTCTCGTCCTATATAGTCAGCTCGAGGTATTAGTGAACTCGTAAGTCGTTGAATAACGAACAATTTAATTCTAACTCGATCTCACGAATTCAGCCTTGGCCGTCATGCCACGAACCCGCAACCTGGAGAGCATGTTGACTTTCCTGCTCGTCCTTTTTGGTACTATAATAGGCCGTCTTCAAGAAATTTGTAGCTTCGGAAATGGTCAGCGTATAATTCCTCGTCCCGCGTTTTTCAGGAGCGTGCTTGACTCATGGAGAAAAAACTTCGATCTACGAGCTATGGGACTCCCCCTTGCTGCAAAACAAATACGTCATGTCGCCCGAGAATGTCTGGAACGCTTATCCCGCAGCTAGTGTTGTCGTCTCTGCCGATGGTACAGGTAACTTCACGTCCGTGCAAGACGCAGTCGACTATGTGTCCTCAACGAGTGCGACGTCGCACGCAGTTATCGATATACTACCGGGAACATATAGGTAGGGAGTGCTTCACTGTCTGCATTGTGAAAGCTGCACTTTCATTAGGGATGCTTGACCGAGCAACTGACACAGAGAGAAGGTCTTGATTCCGAAGTCCAAAGTGAGCATAATGCTCCGTGGGTCGAATCCGTTGGATACCATCATCACCTACGATGACTACGCTGCGAGAGAGCTGGCCAACGGATACGTGTTGGGAACTTTGTGGTCCTGCTCTGTCTGCGTTGAAACCAACAACTTCGTTGCTCTCAACATCACGTTCCAGGTCAATGTTCTTCCGTCGCCGCTTGTCAAAGTGTTTCAATGGCATTTTCATTGCGAGTTTTCTGACGTATTTTGTACCTTACAGAACTCAGCACCTCCACCACCGCCTCTCAGCAACGAGACAGCCAGTGGTCCTATGGCGGTAGCCCTTCGCATCTCCGGCACGATGGCTGCATTCTACAGCTGTCGTTTCATTGGATGGCAGGACACCCTCTATGATCACAAGGTAAGCACAGGGTATAATGCCTTCATGTGCAACTTATTGTTCTAAATGTTATAGTTTTCTGAAAGCTCTTGTTGAGTTTTGCAGGGTCTTCACTACTTCCGCGACTGCTACGTTGAAGGGAATATTGATTTTGTCTTTGGCGATGCAACATCCGTGTATGAGGTAACTCTCCTGGTGATTGGATTGGAGGTTTATTGCTCCTATACTGGATTTCTAACGATGCCTATTATCTCAGGGATGCGTGTTCTATGCCAAAGCCAGGAAGAATGGCGGAGCAGTGGCAGCGCAGTACAGGAGGTCAATGACTAAGCGGTCTGGCTTCGTATTCATTCGCAGCATCATCACAGGGAACGGTCGGGTGAGTGAATTGATGAGCTGCATAGCGTCATTGTAACTGCAACTGAATAACTTGCACTTTGTAATCGTTAATTTCAGGTTTACCTGGGAAGGGCATGGGGAAATGCGAGTAGGACTGTATATGCTTGGTCATTTATCAGTAACATTGTACAAAACGGAGCCTGGTACGACTGGGGTGATGCATCCAGACACAACACCACCTTCTTTGCAATGGTAAGTATTGGCCCGTCCATCAAAATACTCTTTTACATCTGATCTTGTTTTTCTGGATTAAAGTTAACCCCTTGTCCTACTTCTACCGTAGTTTGACTGTTGGGGACCGGGAACAAACACAAGCGGATGGGTGCCATGGAGCCATCTCCTCAACATCTCTCAGGCGCAGCCGTATCTCTCGTACAGCTTTATTGATGCTTGTCAATGGCTTGGCCCCCTGCCTCAAGGAGCTGGAAACTTGACTCACCAGCTGGGTTACAGAGTGAAGTTTGATCAATTTCCATCAGCCCCAACATACCCTTACACCTGCTATATGGGTAAGTTTTAAGGCTTTGTCGTACAATGTATGATCCTGATGTGGATTGAGACTGAGTTCCTTATGTTATCCTTGCTGCAGGCACTCCACCACCACCACCAGTGCCTGTGGTTCAGCCTCCCTCGGCAGCACCAATTGGTTCACCTACTGCTGCTCCACCATCACTGCCTTCACCTGTAACTGTTACAGGAAGTGTTATTTTACCGCCATCTCTTGCATCCCTGCTTCGCGGTTATCCCCCACCACCTCTGCAAACCCGGCAACAATCATTTACAAGTTTGGCTGCTCCAGCTCCTGCTGGTTGATCACTCTTCTAGTGGATCGCATTATTCAATGTGTCCTTCCCAGTCTGCTGCTGGTGCAATTGGGCCTTGGTATTATGAAATTTGTTCTGTACATCAAGTACGGGTTACAGTATTCAAGATTCAAAGCTCTTTATGTATGTACTCGTTACGATCACAAGACTCGGAAGCATGACTACTGGTGAGTGTAAAGTGAGGAGCCTGAGAGTCCAAAGAGTTGACTGCGGGAGAAGGGTGACACGCAGGGCTCAAGCATTACAGGTGCTGCTTGGACAGAGGGAAGGGGGGAGAGAGGCGAGACGGGAGAGGCATGGGAAGCAGCAACGCTGCTGAGGGAGAGGTTGATGGGAGACCATGAGGAGAGCCGTAAGAACACAAGTCATGCAAGGGGAAGGTGGGGGGTAGCATGAGGGAGAGGTTGAGTGTGGGTAGTGAACAGAGCAGAGTACCACACGAGGTACTGACCCCCACCACCAAGTGTGCCAGCCTGATCCCACCATTCCCACAGCACTGCCACCCCAGCTCCTCACCCACTCATCTCCATTTACCCAGCCAGCCTACTTCCTCACCTGGCTGGGCAGCCGGTCACCAGCTTCCATCCAGTCGTGGGCACCACCGTGCCAGTCGGCTTGCTCCCGTCGCAAATTGACAACACTGCCGCCCACGACGATCCCCAGCCAGTCTCCATGTACAGCGTGCTGCCGTCTGTGAACTTGGCGGTGTTGGCCTGGAAGGTCGACGAGCAGAAGCGCACCGCAGCCTCAGAGTTTCGTCCCGACGCCGCGGCATAGGCCGCACCGCCTTCGCCAGAGGTGATGCTGTTGAGAGTGGAGGTGCCGAGAGCCTTGTTGTAGTTTAGGGTGGCTCTAACAAAAGTGAAGGCAGCGTCTTTAGCGTAGATGGCTCCCCCAGAAACACCTGGATGGGTGGAGGGGAGAATGGAGGAAGGGGTGATGGAGGGAGGGTACGGTAGATGATTTGTGAGATGATGTGTTGACAGTGGCGGTGCCGAGGCCTTGAACACTCACACACACTCATCAGCGCTGTTCCCATCGAACACGCATTCCTCGAACCGCAGCCTGGCCGTCCCCGCCACCCTAACCGCCTTGCCCAGGTGGTTCGGCGCGCTATTGTCCATGAAGCGGCAGCGCAGGAAGGTGAGAGCCGGCACGCGGTCAGTGAGGCCGGTGGCGTTGAAGGTGTGGGCGTCTATGTTGACCGCGCCACCCCCCAGGGCGGGCGAGGAGTTGTTGTAAAAGATGCAACGCGTGAAGAGCCGCTTGGGAGGCACAGGCATTATTGTGATGTTGTCTCTGTTGGGTTAGGTTGGGGAGACAGTAGAAGGGGAGGGAGGGAGGGAGGGAGGAGGGAGGGTTGGGTGGCTGTCGCAGGGAGGAGCCTGCACCACACAAACTCACTTGCATTACACTCGCACTTGCATTGAACACTCTCACTTGCATTACACACACTCACTTGCATTACGCACACTCTCACTTGCATTATGCACACTCTCACTTGCATTACTCACACTCTCACTTGCACCACACACACTCTCGCTTGCACCACAAACACACACTCTCAACTGCACCTTGCACACACACTCGCTCGAGCACCCCTCTCACTCTCTCAACTCCCCCCCAACACTCCCCTCCTCTCACCTGAGCACCCCTCCGCCAGCATCAGCAGCAGCTATGTTGTGGGCGAAATTGCATTGACTGGCGTCGACTGGCGTCAACACCTTGGAAAAGACGCCTCCCAACGCGTACTGGAAGGTGAGGTTGACCAGAGTCAACTGCCCCGCCGTGTTGATCGTCGAGGGGGAGGTGAATATGGGGAAGGCGCCACGCCCGCTGATGATGCACTTGTCGATTCTGGTGAACGGGGA